AGTACTTGCCATTTCTTAGCTCCTACACCTGGCACACTGCAGAAACTCCTCATGCTCTCCCTCTCCTTTTTTCTCTCCAAGAGAAGAGTGTTTGACAAATCTCTCCATCAAGCCATAAAGATATAATATTTGGGCATCTAATGTTTGCATGCCAGGAGAGGCGGAAAGCTGGCAGAAGCAGCAGGATACTGAGACAAAACATGACACTACCACAGTTACTGCTGCATCCCCGTGGGTATAAAAAAAAAACCTTTCCAAAAGCCGGTTTGCCATCACCAACCAAGGGGTACATAGGGACGAGGTGGCAGCCACTGCTCCTGTCCTCTGTGGCACATAGTCCTGGCCAGACCACTTGGACACACACGTCCCGGTGCCTGCGGGTGTAAGTCTGCGGGTGGATACAGTGAACTTAGAAAGTTAAATAAGATCAAATCACCTTCCATAAGGTCTCAAGCTGAAGCAATAAGATATTTAATATGAGGCTTCCACCCATAAATACCTGGCCACTTCTTAGGGCCAGCCGGTGACAAGGTGTACTGAACAGCATCGGAACATTCCCTACGTGATCAGAGGGTTACAACACAGGTTCAATGCATCACGTTCACAAGCCCCTGCTTTGTAAACATCTGAACTATTTTACTGTAGCTTATGTTCTTGTCTCAGCCTGTAACACGTTTAACAAAGTAAGTATTGATCAGTAGAAGGTAAAAATAATAATATTGACAAAACTAGCTCAATACGGTTACACAAGAGTCACACCTGCATTTGCAATCGGGCACTGAGCTGACTCTTCCAGAACAGAACCAGGAATTGCTGTTTCTCCTGACCATTATGAGCCTTGGAATAAAAGAAAGATAATAATAAAACCCCTTCTCCCTCGTACTGGAAAAAGCTGCCTATCAGTCTGAAGAGTACAGCTCTGTGGGACTTTCAGCCAGGCCTCGGAGAGCTTTCCAGTGGCTGAACTCCCAGAGCCTGGTCTGGGGGCAAGCACTAGCTGGTCAAGAGCCTCAGTCAAGCCTGGGACCCCCAGCCATCCACATGATGTGGAGGTCTCCGCTGTCCCTTCCCCAGCGGTTCAAACTTCCACTACAGCAAACCCCCAAACTGCGCGGGCACTGCTGGCTGGCAGCAGGGAGAGACAGGGAGGCTCCAGCTCCTGCTGGGCATGCCTCTGCGCTCTCACAGCAGTCCCACCAGCCAAGCAGGCAGCTCTACTTAGTTATCCCAGGCTGATGGCAATGCCCTTCAGTCAGGCACTGCTGGTTCCCCAAACAAAGAAACAACACTCCAACAAGCTGAAGACACTTACTGGTTACTAGAAGTTATCAGCAACTGGAAGTTAAGATGTGCTGTCCTCACACACTTGACTTTCATCAGGCACTAAAATGACAGAGACTTCCTTGCCTCAGCAATACCTGTTTGCAATGTTCTTACTGTGGGACTCTTCCCACCTTTGCTTGAACACAGCCCAAAAGGAGAAGCCAACTCTACTCCTTCCCATTCTTCTAAACATTCAAATCCCATAACAAAAACCAAGGAATTCATGGTAAGGAGGGACATTTCCCTAGAGACAACTTGTCTGTAAGACACCCGATCACTGGTAAGCAACCTTTCTGTGTGCCTGTCCCTATGTCTACGCTGAGGATATGTTGAAGCAGTACCATCCAACCTGAACCAGTTATCCAGAGAAGGCGGACAGTCAGATGGCGACGTGTTAGCTATGTACAGAGGTGCGGTTCGCAGGCTCCCTGGCTGTCGTCACTCCTTGAGCACCTGGAAGCCTTCCTGCAGAAGGCAAGCCTTGATAATAACTGCATCCAGTGTTGTTCCCATGAAGTCTCCAACCTTCTCCACACGGGGTCCAGCAGGACTCTGGGACACTCACCCTAAGGAGCCGAGGAACTGAACAGCTAATGGTAGAGAAGTGGATGCCTCCCTAAGAAAGTTTTGCTTTAATGCCAGTTAAGATACGAAGAGCACCATGCCATTCCCACCAAGATGCAGGATTGGCCAGGTAACCGTCCTGGCTCACCAAAAGCAGAGCAGATTGCAATACAAAAATATGAAGATCAGAAGACCCATAGAAGCCCCACAAAGATCAACCCCATATCTCTTGCTATTATCGGAGATAGCCTCCCTATCCTGGTCATAGACAAAACCAACAACCGTTGAGTTAGTTTAAAGGCCTGTTCCTCTTTTGCTTCTTCGTAAATGAAAGTTGCTGTAAAACCATTCTCTCTGTACAGTAGATGTCTTACTTTAGAAAAACTTTCCACATGATTTCAGACAACATCCTCGTAACCAGTTTGGGGAGATGTAGACTAGACTGCAAGGTGGACAGAAACCTGGCTGGATTTTCAGGCTCAGAGGGCAGCAGTGAAGAGTTGGACACCAATGGGTTACCAGTAGCATTCCCCAGGGGCTCATATTCCAGCCAAAACTGTTTAATACTGTCATATTTAACTCGACAATCAATAATCTCAACAGTGGGATGGAAATACAGAGCCACTACTTCTTGCCAAAGGCAATTCCTAGAAAGCAGCAGAGAAGGGGAGTCCACGGCAGAAGGGAGGCAGACTGCATATGCAGTTGGATCATAACAGGACTCGACTCTGAAGAGATTCGAGATGCAACTCCCCTCGTGCAATTTAATCTTCCAGAAAGGAAAACAGCTGGGATTTTGTGCTGAAGGTACGTTCGCAGTAGGTCGAGCATCCAGCTTCTCCTTTACACATTCAGGTCACAGAGAAGATGATCATAGTGATGTAGCTTCTAAACAAAACACCAAGTCATTCAGCATAAAATAAAATGCACTTAAATGAGATGCCAGAGCTGGAGCCCGGGAGCTGGTAAGGCTTCACATCAAAAGCAAAAGAATGGAAGGTCTGCGTGGCCACACTTGTAGCGTAAGAAAGAGAGCCTCCTATGGCAGACTGGGGAGAGTAAAGTGTTATCTTGAAGTACGAACAGAGTAAAAAACATTACTGATGCGAACCTCAACCCTCATCCCTTTATAAAATATAATTTACAATCCTTTAAAAAGACGATTAGACTTTTTGGTAGAGGTCAAGAAAGGTCTAGCTGACTGATGCAAATGACACTAATAATATAATCATCTTACATTTTTAGCCAGGGAATTGCAGATGTTGCATATCCAGGTATTTGTTAGCTTGTGATTAACAAGGTGACACACTTGAAGGAACCAGCTCAGCAAAATTCTAAAGACAACATGTAAAAAGTACTTACTTAATGTCAACACCAAAAGCAATTACTTGATGCCTTCAGCTTTGTTCTGTTTTCTGTTGTGATGGTTTCTGGTTTGGGGATTTTGTGGGTTTTTGTTGTCATTTTTTTTCCCCCCAAACACATAATACATTGTAGATTGTACACGTAATCCGCAAATATTAAAGTTATAGCCAATTTATTACAGATATTATTTCCCTGATACTGAAACAGTGTTTTATATATATATAAATATTTCTACATTAATATAAATACATGCAAACCAAATCAGAAAATAGCAGTCTTGAGTAAAGAATGACTAAACTTGCAAAAAATGATAAGTTGTGTCTGCAATTATTCGTGGTCATAATTTTACCAACCTATTCCAACTCTGATCCCAGAGAAAAATCCTTCTGGCTGTCAATTTTTTGCTTTCCACAGAAAAATCTGGCAGTATCGTCAATTATCTTTTTAATATTATTCTTACAGGAAAAGAGAATTTTTCAGTGCAGTTACATTATTCGAAACTGCGGCACACAGCTTAAGAAGCAAGACTCTCTGCAAAGGAATAGTAACATCACCAAAAAAGCATGATTTTCAAGTACCATGCACAGAAAACTGTTGATATATCAACCACTTAAGTAGGGGAAGGCAGAGATGAAGCATTAATGTCATTTTTTCCTGCAGCTTCTGCATGTCTCTTTGTAAAAAGTGACAGCAATATATAAATGATTAGAACTACGACAGGTAGTAGAGACAAGAGTAGCCTGTACTGTTTTTAAGAAAAGGAAATCAACGTTGGCCAAGTTTCTTTATTTCATATTTCACATCTTCACTCAATACTGTTACTGAATGTTTGAAAAATTGTCCTGTACACCATGAATATACAAAATTTATCTGAAGCATTAAATCTGTAAAAATAGAAACAATTCAGTCAGACCAAGTGTAACTGAAGACATGGCAGACAGTAAAGGGATTGCTTATCTGGGCTGAAGACGTAGTCAGAAAGCAAGACTTAACTAAAAGAACCAGAGATTATTAAGGAGATAGAGCTATGTAAATTAAGATTTTGCTAATTTGTCAGAAGATAGGAGAGATAAAGGTAATGGATTTTATTTTAAATCAATAAGCGTAATGTCACTTTTTAGAGACACCTTGGCGGTCTAATTACACACAGCTAGAAAACTCCACTGCCTTCAGGCACCCTCATATCAAGTGCAAATCTGCGCAGTTATAGAATATATTTATAAAATATACTATATGCAAACATCTTTACAGAGCTTTAAATCAAGCCAAAAAGTAAATATACTTGATGGGACAACACAAAAAAAAAATGAAACAATGCAAAAATGCGGGCAGTGTGACTGTGGCCCTTCAAAGCCAGAGGAAAGAATTCAGTTTGTCTGCAACAAAACGGAGATGGGATTTGCACCTTAAAAGTTGACTGTTAACAAAAGTGAAGAAAATATCCTCTGTGCTTCTGCAAATTAACAGAAAATTAGCTTTCATGACATTTTACGTATTGTCGTTATCTTAAAATATCTTCTAAAGCACAATGTCAACCCTTGAATACCAATAACCAATCACATAATTGAAAGTGAAAGGGTTTCCCAGCTAAATTCAAATTACAAACTACATAATTCTAAGGAGTGCAATGCTCTGGAAAAAGCTTTAAATTAAATTATTTTACTTGTAAAGCTAGTGTTAGGGTTTTTTAGTTAAAAACAACTGGAAGCAAGAAAGCTGCAAGAGTACAAAGGACAAAATTGGTTTTAGATACACCAAGTGAAAGAGTGAATTATCCACTGATGCAGATTGAAACATCCATTTGCTACATTATTCGCTTCCTTATTTCATTCCATTGCAGGTACACACAGCTTAAGTATTAAAATGCAGAATAATAAATAAAACGGCTCAGATTACTAGCAAGGGGCAAAACACAATCGGTAATTGTGCTCTATCTAGTTTCTGTTTCAGCAGTCTTTTTCTCTTGCAGTTTATAAGAAAAATCATAGACAGACTTCCAAAAAGAGTCATTCCTTTTTATCAGAAACTCAAGTTCATTTGCCCAGGTTTATAACCCAAGACATTTCTGTGAAGGAAGCACAGTGCAAATTATATGACTAATAAAACTTGCTTACATAGAAAGAAGTTTACTTGATTAATGTTAACGGGTATCTTTATGAAATACATTGTAAAACAAAGATTAAATAACAGGACTGGGTTTGGTTTTTTTCCCCCCCTCAGACTTTTTTTCCTAATCCCTCCTTTGAAAAGCTTACTGAGTTACAAAAATCTTAATAAAGTTCCAGTCTTCAGCAGATAACTATTATAAATGCTGCCAATCGATGCCAACTAGTGTTTGATTTGCTTCTTGTGCATGTCCAATTTCCTCTGTGATACTGTGCTGCTGCCAGAGTTTTTGAATCTTTTTAAATCGTTCTTTGCACAGATGTAAGGGATTCCCACGTCTGAAAAGGAGATAATACATATCAGGGATGATAAAACACTGCAACTAAGCACAAACACTCAGGTGCAACATATTAAATATTAGATAGCCCTTTAAAATATTTTAATATTTAGATAACCCTTCAAAATTATTCTCTTGTCAGAACAAATCAACAGATATTTTCATCAGTAAACTGGAGAGCTACCTTGTCTCGTCCCCCGCCCTTACTGCTCAACAGTTCCCTCCAGCCCTTGGGAATCTCATGTACGTCCACCAAAGTCTGAACATAGGTTTTCAGCACT